AGCTAAAGTCTTTCACATTTTAGTCACATTACAACCACTAATTTTGATGCATTTTATTGGGACTTTTATTGTATTTTCTAAACACAAGGTAACATCTAAAACTGTGTGTTAAAATAAATTCAGCCCATTTCACAATGACACACCTGAACAAAATCCAGTTCAACCAAATCGCTTCAGATCAGCCCAGGTTTGTATAACTGAGGGTGCATTCACACCAGCTCTGTTTAGCCCGTTTTAATCGAACTCCAGTCCTTTTACCTGGAAAGTCTGCAATCGAGTTCTGATGCGGACCAAAGACGTGAGCTCTGGTTCGCCTAAAAGCCGAGGTCTGGGTCCGGTTGAAGTGAATTCTGGCGTGAGGTTTGATTGTTTAACGTAAACGCCAAACGAACCGGAGACCGCTCAAAAAGCAGGAAGTGGAGTACGCCGCAGGGCATTCTGGGTAAACACAGCCAAAACAAACACGAGATACTAGCACTAGCGGGAGAAATCTTTTAACAAAGACAAACAAGAAATCCCACAGCCGCTAAAATCTGACTCTACTCCATTTTCGTTTTGTATTTCGTGGAGAAGGAAGTTGCACTTGTGTCTTCTTCAGAGGTTTTCATGTTGTTTCCTTCAGTGTTTCTTGGTGCAGTGCCGCCACAGGCGAGTGGGGGAACACGTTGCTCAAAGGGTTTAGTTGGTTTCACACAGTGCAGTGTGAAAATGAACCTCACTGGCTCAAAATGCAGCAGCTTTGGTCCCCATTTGAACCGAGTCTGCCAAACTATCAGGTATGAAAACATCCTGCATTTCTATATGAATGTTCTCCAAAGTCCTCAAGACTTTATTAGTGAACATTTGTGATCAAACAACATCATGAGGGCAGAAAAACACCCGACAGGCCAGGGAGGAAGTAATGGAAATGTTTAAAACAGAGCTACAGCACAAACGAAAATCTGAACAACTAATGCTGCACTGATCCATCATCCAGAAATGAAAGGAGTACGGGCACAACTACAAACCTAGCGCAGTCAGTCATGAACTGGATATATCCTGTGGTAAAAAGAGAGCCACTGCAGAAAGTAAGCCATAAGAAGTCCCGTTAGTGTTTGCCAGAAACGATGTAGGGGACCGGGCAGCATTCAGAAAAGACCACAGTTCTGCTTCTTGGCCTGCATGCAAAACGCTGTGTGTGGCTGGAAACTAATGCTGCGCGTCACTCTGAACACACCGCCCCCACGGGAAAACAAGGCGGTGGGAGCATTATGCTGTGGGGATTCCTTTTTTCAGCAGTGGAGGGAAGTAAGTAATAAAGGTCAACACAGAAAAAAAAAAAAAAAACAGTTAGAGGCTGAAATAGAGTTGAATCTCTGCTGGCTAGATCCAAACATTTCCATAAAGTAGAATCTTTGGTACAACTAAAAGTTTTATGTTCAGATGTTCAACAATTTGAGCTACTTTTGATAGGGTTTTAGTCCAACTCACTTGCAGCTGCAACTGAAGCAAGCAGTGGGACTGACTCAGAGGATGCATCGAGATGCACGCCACATTTTGTTTGTGAATTGTTTTCTCCCGTTTCGCAGTTATGCACAACTACGTATGGGTGCATCAGATAAAATCCCTGCAAACGCAGAAGTTTTTGACTAAAACTTGACAAAATGTGAAAAAAAATCTAAGGGGTTTGTATACTTTTGCAAGACGATGCACGGTATAATTAAGATTTGAATAACTTTTTGTCCCCCTTTCTCACAATAAGTAAAACTCGGAGTCCTCCTGTGCAGTTGCTCGCGTCTCTTTAACTCGGCTCTGGTTTTCCTAAACAAACTCAGTTCCGACTCCCATCTGCTCGCCACCGAGTAATGGGACTTGTTTGAAAGTCCTCTGACGGGGGACAGCAGATGCACAGGAAATGCTTTTGATCAAACACTGGTGCGAAAGGGAGGTGGTGGCGGCGGCGGCGGTGGTGGGGGAAATGAAGTGGGCGTGATTGTGAGAGCATGCGCGCTTCCAGGACAAGCATGTGCCTTTGTCTCGGGGCGCCATGTCTGCGCAGTGCTGACTGTCGGGTCTGCGTGAGGCGTTTTTCTGGCACCGAACGCCGGTTTCCTACAACGCTGAGTGATGGTGGTAGTAATCCTACTGTCTCCTGGCTCCTCTGTGTCCTGGTGCCATATGTGACCGTGCAGGCTGGCTGGGTGGGTGGGTGGATTGTTTGTGATGTGATATTGTTCCCTGAGACGCCTTGAGATGAGAATATCGTTTTTTTTTTTTTTTTTTATGAATAGGGAGGAGGGTTGTGGAAACAGCTGCATGCCAGACCAGTTGGCACTGTTGTCTACAGTAAAGTTTTTTTTTTTTCCTCCTCAGTTGTTTTTATGTGGGCCATTAAAAGAAGCTGATGCTAGCACTCTGCTACCCTTTCAGGAATACTTTGTCTCACGTTTATGTAAGACAGGAAACTGAACATTGGTTCGCCTTTATTTAACTTCCTATCGCTTGTCGGCTTGTGCATGTCAGAACTTTTCAGCTGAAATACCTTAGTGTCTCCCGTCGATTAGCTTTAGCTTTTAGCCGTTGGGCCACTTCTACGGTTTAGTTAAAGCGCAGCTGTTGTTTTCAACATCAAACAGTTCAGTTTGTGAAAACTAGAGGAAATGCTTTGGCTCTTAAAGGATTTGTTCAAGTTCCAGTGGAGTTTTTATCAGAACCGGAAGCAAACGTAGAAAGGCTGATAGCTTGTCAGCTTGCGACTAAGGATCCAGTTGACTTGAGCTGTTTCAAGGAACACCAAAACTACTCACACTATATTAGTGTATTTTATGTCTCCACTCACAAGTTTGTTAAGTTTATAGTTGTTCTTCCAACTAAATGTCTTCCCATCAACCATATGAATCAGTTTTCTGGGAGTGGCGTAAACATTTGGATTTAGCGACAACCTGTGGCTAAATAAAGAGGCTTTTTAAAGAATGATCCAGATTAAAGTAACATTATAGTTGATTGGATAATTTAGCAGAGTAACAAGAATGTTGTCCAATTGAGGAAACCATGAGAAGCAAAAGCCTCTTGCAAAATGTAGACGTTCGTAAGCCACTAATGCCGCGTCGTGTGTCAATTCTCTAAATTGTCACAATTAGTTCAAACAATGTCACGTATCGTACCGCTAGCCTTTTTCCTCTCCTCCTTCTCTCTTTCTAAATTTCCTTTTTAGAAATTTAACGACTCAAACTGAACTACAACTTTAATTGCTGAACCCATTTTTACCCGTACATTGCTACTTCATTGCTTCCTACTTCCATTTCTATACTACTTCAAGTTCATGCAGTCAAACCATCAATTTGTCTATCTTTGTAGTTACATAATTTCCTGAATAATAGAAGGAAATAGCCATAAAAATGAAATACTATATTTACATAATATAGCATTATGTTAATAACCTTTAAAGACATCGTACCCTATTTTCATTCATCCTGGTTTGACTTGAAACATGACAGATAAATCGTCTTTGGTCAAACCCAAATGATACCAAACGACCTTCTTCTTGTGAAGTATTAACTTAAATCACACAACCACAGTAATCACTGTCTTACAGCCAACACTGAGTATAATAATAATAATAATAATACACACTTTAAATTATCAGGTAGGATATAGCGAACACACCTTGGCTCGTATAAAATGACGCATTCTTGGTACGGAATGTCCTGCAGAGTCTGGTGTTTCCCAACCCTGGCCGTCAAGGCACACTGGCCTGCATGTTTTACACGTTTCCTTGCTGAAACATGCCTAATTCAGATGATTGCAGTTCAGTAAAACGTTGTTAATCAGCCATAAATAACACTCCGGTGCGCTGAAGCAGGGAAACACCTACAACATGCAGGGCAGTGTGCCAAGAGGACGAGCATTGGGAAACACCGCTGCAGAGGACCCCCCCCCACCCACCCACCCTCGTCCCACCCCGGGAACATTTGTATGCGAAACCAACAAAAATACCATTTTCATTCCTTCACCCTTTTTTTTTTTGAGAGAGTAAAATGATCAGCATCTAAGCACAGCTGCAACCTAACAGATGTCTCCTGTGAAAGTCTAGATTGTTGATATCGGCTTATAAAGCTTTGCATTTGCTGTTTTTTTTTTATTATTATTATTATTGCGAAAATCTAAAGCAGGGGACTGAGAAGTGGTGATAAGAGAAGAAACTGTCAGAGTGGTGGAAGGCTAATAGCCAGTCAAGACTTGGGGACTACAGCTTAGTTGATTTTGGCATCTGATTGTTGTAAAACGGGTGAGAACATTTGGAAACATATTGAGCAACCCCAATCCTGATGTTTGGATTTCATGGTGAATTTGCATCAGATGAATTTTGTTCAAAGATATTCTCAGAGACATGCAGGGAAGGTGGAAGATGATAGGGAAGATGATGCAGGTCCAAGCTGATCAAACCAAAAAACAATAACAAAAAAAACAGCGTACACTTGCAATGACAAATTTTCTGCAATTTCTATCTGATTCATGTTTCAATGGGAGAGATGTAGGACTGTTTTAACGCCTCAAAAAACTGATTCAGATTCTGTCAATTTTACCATCAGAACATTGCAGGTATTCATTGTCATACCTGCAAACTATCCAACTGAAGAGATCACATTGAGAAGAAGCAACCTTTATATGCAAATACGACTATTTTTCCAAAATTTAACTGCGACATGACATCTGATCACGAGTAAGAGAACTATTCCTAATAATTTCACCAAGTATCAGATGGGAAAAAGAAATCAGCAATTCCCCCTTTCAGATTTAAAAGCAGATCCACAATCTGTTCTTGCACTCAAACTTTAAACTGTGGGAAATATAATATAAGCTTTTATTTATTTATTTATTTTTAAATACCTTTCAATTTTGATTTCCTGTCTTGTCACTCACATCTTTCTTAAGACAAACTCAACTGGAAGAAATGTTTTTCGCGCGCTCTGGCATGCTCCCTTACTGTGCTGCGAGTGCATGCATGCATCGGTACTCACTCCTGGGCTCACGCGGTCCGTCCACGGTGACCTTTATGGCTCGGTGGTACGTGGCCACTTGCGGTGGGTTGGTGAATACCGTGATTGTCAGTGTGAAGCTCTTGCCTGTGGTGACATCAAAGAAGATCAAAGGATATGCCATCTGCAAAGACAATGTCTGGCATTTATCTCTAAAACCATTCCTAAGTCACGAGTGTCACAGCGATCATGTTACAAGGAGATGTTGGCCTAAAGAGAACGATAACAAAATAACAACATTAAATCAGCTCTGTTTAGTTAAGTGCTCAGTTTAGTTTTGTGGAGTTGCGTCGCAGCAGCCAGCATCTCGTTATCAAGAATCTCTACTGCTGTGTGGGACGGCGAGAGGCATTTTAATAGTCACTTCCTTTCTTGATAATCCCCAGCAGTTGTTGCCTTGGGGTTGAGTGCTTGTCTGTGCAAGCGCGTGTATTCCCATGTTCATGCACGAGGAATGCTGTGAATCATATCACAACAGCCAAGTCAGCAGCTACACTAACTTCTGAGGTATGCAGACGTGCTGCGCAAGCGTGGCTGCAAGTGGGAAACGGGAAAGAGGGGAGAGGGAGGGAGGGACGGAGGAGAGGGAGCAGCTGTCCATTCACTCGCAGCCGTCTGGGCGCACGGACCCTCCCCTCTCTCTTCCACTTTACAACCTCAGTAAACATGGCTCTCAAAGAGATGGACCGGGCAGATAGCAGCGGCGACAGGTGACCCACATACCTCCACGGAGGTGTGATGGGGGGGGAGAGGGAGATGAAAACGTCGCCATCATCCTGTAATCAACATGTAGGCCTGTCGCCATGAACAATAAATCAATCGATCGCGTGACGAATTAAAACGATTGTGGTTTTCTCTCTTTTGTCCCTCTGGATGGTGAAAGTCTTCACTTTGGTGCTGAACTGGCCCTGGTTTTTCTGAAGAACATTTTTTTCCTTACCCAGACTTCAGTCACAGACAATTAGGAATTTTAAATAAAACGTAAAATAAACAGTTAACCGTGACGTCACTCGTAGAATTAAACTGAACAAATCTGCTTTTACGTAATGGACGCATCGCCACCGATACCCGATATAGAATTTTTTTCAATACTGAGACCGACACAGATATTAATATCGGATCGTTGAGCCTCCAGGTAGAAATTGCAGTTTTTTAGCCAAACATAGGGAACTAAAAAAATGACTATCCTGGACAAGGCAGGAAGCTTATGCATAGTGATGACCCTAAACATACAGCCAGAGCTTCAGAGATGGGTTCAGATCGCAGCATTTTCATGTGTTACATGAACATATAACACATCCACACCTTGACCCGACTGAGATTCAAAAATGGCCGTCCACAGGTGCTCTCCTTCCCATCTTCCTTCTACAGGCAGGGATTGCCGGTGGAGACATTTATTCTCCCAGAAGACTGGCAGCTGTGACTGCAGTGAAAGGTGGATGCAAAATAAGCATGCCGCACTTTCCAGATGTGATTCCCACTTTATTAAGCCACACCTCATGTCTCATCACAGAAGAAGCACACTGCAGCCTGTAGTTGTGTTGCGCTCGTGTGAAAACGTCAAAGGGATGTGAATGCAGTATCGGCGCTCCTATTATTAGCCAATTCCTGTGGAACACCATTAAGTCCAAAGATCTTGTCAGGAGTATCTGATTCCTCTCTGAATAACCTGCCCCATGCGTCCACGCTATCGTCGTCCGCATCAGGCCTGTAATTATCGATCCCCGTCCGCCCCCGCCTGGCTCCGGCTCCCTCTCTGGCCGTGACTTTTAGCTATCTAACATGCTATCAGTTCTCTCCGTTTGTACTTATCTGTCACCGGAGGGTATTCATTTCAGACACCTCGTATTCCGATCCACCCTCCTGGCTCCTGTGTCACTTCCTGTTGCGAGATTCTGTGTCTCAGCAAAAGCCGCACGAGGAAAGGTTTCCGTGGCAACCGGTCGCGGGCGTCCACGCGACCCCTCTACGCTCATCGACCCGTTTGTTTGTTTTTGTTTTTAACCGACAGCTACCTGTTGCGATCGCTTTAACCGGGGGAGGAGGGCGGGGAGATTCAAAAGGGAAAAAAAACGAACGGAGTGTTCCAGAGAAACGGGGAACGGCTGGGAGCAAGCGGCGAGTGCCAAGCGTCACGACTTGCAAATACGATGATTTACTAATGAGCGATGGGAGCAGCGAGAGATCTGAATTGTCGCCTGGTGATGCCAAGCATTCCAGGAATGTTATTGGACCGAACAGGAGTTTGTTTCACTCCGGCAGCCCGAGGATGTGGGCAGAGAACGATCAGCCACGGGGGGCCTGGAGGGTGCCGAGGGGGGCGGGGGGGACGCAACACTACCCAGCATGTTTACGGACCTGAACCAAGCCGAGGTTATGCAAGGTGAAAGGGGAAAAAAATGGAAAACGGCTTCTTTATTAGAATAAATAAATAAAAACATGAAATATTTTGGATTTCAAGAAGCATCGCCTGCTTATTGTGGATAATTAACTCTAAAGGAGCCGCGTCTTGAGCTTGCAGAAGCGACGTTATTGGCCTCTCTTAAGGATATGGGCTGTGGGATTTAGCCCCTGGAGTTAGGGAGATCATTATGTGGTTGCCACTTTGGGGGAATGTGGCCACTAATCCACACCACTGAGCCCTAATGGCTCCCTGCAGGCTGCGGCAGCGAGCGCCGAGAGAGTCTGAGGCCTCACCTCTGCCGCTGCGGCCCACGAAGCGAAGGTCGTTGAAGCGCGCCACTTGGTTCTTCATCACGCCCGAGGCGTTCCGCAGCTCGGCCGAGTAGTTCTCATCGTTGCCCGCCATGACCGTGACGACCGTCCCGTCGGGTATGTCGCCCAGGGCCACCACCTGTCGAGGAGACGAAGGGGAGGAAATTTTTTAACCACTTTTTCAAATCTGAAAAATATTGAGACATAAAATAAAGCAATGGAGGAAGGCTTTCTGCTCTCCTTTATTATTTCCCCATCATGCCATCCTCCTCCAAATCATGTTGATGGATGGGTTTTAATTTGTCCCTCTGAAGCGATCTGACAATAAGATAAATGTTATGATGTTAACCATCTTGAGCGTGGAGGCCTTGTGTTATCATTTAGCTTCTTGGACGCGGATAAAAGAGGACGAGCAAAACCCCGCGATAATTACAGAGCCCCCTCGTAATAACGACGGGGGAAATAACACTTATATTTCAGAAAGTTGTCACGTTTAATTCCAAGCCAGAGCCTCAGCTATACATTTCCACTGACGAGGGTCTTTGATCTGTCCTTTGAGTAATACACCGCCTAATTAAAAGGGCCTCCTTTTTTTTCTTTTCTCTTTCTTTTTTTTTTTTAATCGGCGGAATATCAGGGGAGAAAATAAGTGACGAGGCTTCAAAAGGATAAAATGTTAAAAACATTATTCCTGGAGCCTCTTGTTTTTTTTTTTTTTTTGTTTTTTTTTGCTTTTTTTTTTCTGAGGCATATTTATTTTTGTTTTTAGACTGTAAAAAACACCAAATAAATCTTGTTGAAAAAGCTGAAATAAAACCTGATGTGTTTGAGTGTTTAAATATGGAGGCGGCAAAAAAAAAAAAAGGTTATTCTTCATTCTGACACGTTTCTAAAGGATTTAAATTTGATATGATAATTTCAGTGGCTGTCAATGATATTAAAAACTAAATAGGTTTTTGATGTGAAGACATGCAGAGGTTTTCAAAATGTTGCTGTGACAAAACAGTTAAAAATACTCCATCATTGCCACCTTACTTTTCCTAAAGCATATTTAATGAAATGCCAAAGAAGCTGCAGGGATGAAGGAAGTTTTCTCTGGCTGTCTGAAGCTACTGCACCCCCCTCCTCCACCTGTTTCTTCACACTGCCAGCCCACTTCATAGGCTCACAAGAAAGTCTAATAATCAAAATCAAAATGCTGTGCAGATCATCATAACTGTTATTCAAAACTACACGAAGAGGTGTAATTGTTGCTTTTCTGTTTTAAATCATAATAATAATAAAAAAAAACATTTGGCTCCTGTGATACATTTCTACTTTTTCTTTTCAAGATTTTGCATTAAAGCTGTGAAACCACCTCAGAGAAATTATTTTCTTGATGCACAATTTTAAGCATAAGGAGTTAAAATCAACTTATTAATCACAAAGAAAAAAAACACAAGTGGAGTTATCTTATAAATTAACATAGATGATAATACAAATTATAGAAATAAAATAAAGTGTTGTGGTGACATTTATAGAAACTGGTGCTTTTTCAGTTAATTAAAAAATGATTAACAAATTTCAAAATGAAAAAGGACTATAATACATTTTGGAGCAACCCAATTAATTACAAATGTAGAGGGATTAAAAACATTTGGATAAGTTTAAGTCAACTTTTATTCAGTGTATTTATATAGCAAACAAAAACAACAACAACAACAACAAACATTTTTATCCACAAGTCCAACAAATTACAAAGAATCAAAATTCAGATCAGTTCAGGTCCTACGTGGAATTTAATCATCTGTTCGGATTCAAAGACGCATTTTTGGCCTATTTATAACTTAACACATTAAGCTCAAAGTTGAAAGCGGAATGCCACTTGCGGGGCTCCTACTGGGATTCCTTCTAACCGAGCAGCAAAAACACTTTGAGCTCACCTTGAAGGCGACAGGCAGCGTCTTGTTGCACCGCCAGTGGGAGGGCAGGACCGAGCAGAGGAAGTTGGGGCTGTCGGTGCGCACCAGCTCGGCTGGGTGGTCGGCGATGATCTCGGCCATGCTGCGGTTCTCATGCGGGGGACGCAGCCTCGGCACCGCGGCCGCCGCGTCCGGCTGGCCGGCCGGGGAGCTCACGTCGTTCATCTTCCCTGGGACCGGCTGGAGGCTGCTGGACGGCGGACTGAACCTCCGGCTGGCGCTGGGATCTACGGGAATTCGCATCACAACACCGTGGATTAGCGGAAAGGCGCTGCAGAGGGGGGCTCTCTCTCTCTCTTTCTGTCGGGCTCTCTCCGCTTTCTCTCACACTCGCTGCCTCTCGGTTCGGTTGAGCGCTCTAAAACTCTCTCGACTACAAAGCAGACTTTCTCCCGCGGGCGGAAAAAAAAGAAGAAGAAAAAAAAAGCTTTAAGGACGCGTTTTTTCTAAATCGAGAGCTTTTCCAGGGAGGAATCCACGTGCCATAACGCAGGCGCGCGCTCTCACTGTAATAACACCAAATAAATCTCCGAGCGCGCAACTAGGCTATACAGTTAAACCAGACGGTCTAAAAGGTTTTTGTCTGCTTTCGTTTGCTTTAAAAAAAAAAAAAAGTCAAAGCGCTCCTCCAGGTGCGTCATTGAAGTCTTTGTGCCAAACAGAAAGGCGCTCTGGAAACCCGCAGGCTATGTACACATAAAGGAAAGTTTCAAAGTGAAAAGATTACGCCTCAACAATACTTAACAAGCCTATTTATAATCCCGCGACGCCTGCAAATTCAACAAATCTTTCTGGAGGTCTTCCGGCCGCGAAGCAGGTTTTGTATATAGGGTTAAAAAGCCTGGGGAAGGGGAGAAAAAAGAAAGAGAGAGAGGCAGAGAGAGAGAGAGAGAGAGAAAAGAAATGATCGCCGGTGAGATGAAGGAGGAGGGAAGGGAAAAAAAAAAAAAAAAAAAAAAAAATCCCCTTTTGGGGGCGTGAATGTGGTTAGTGTTTGGAGGGCCGGGGTTCCCCGTGCGCAGGCGTTTTTGTGGTTTATATAGCCCGAGCGCCCCGGCAATTATTGCGCTGATGCGACTCCAACACGTGGTGTCTGGAGTCAGATCCGCTCCCTCCGCTCTGCGCCGCGATCTATCACGCCTCTAATGCGCTCTGCCCCCCCACACCCACACAACACGGACAATCGTTTTTTGTTCAGCGTCGTCTCTGCGCTCTTACACCCCCTCCCCCTCCCCCCCACACACGAGAGGGTTACGCGGCGCGCGTGTAAACCGTATACGTACCGACATGTCATGTCACCGTTCCCGTGGACCTGGCAGCGCGCTCCTGACGTCGGAGGTGGTCATTTCCAGTCAGACCGTGTTGAGTTACGGCGCTCGACAATGTGCGCCTAACAGCAGCGTCTCGGACTGAGCTCCCATCAAGGGCCGGAGCCACTGAGTCACCGGAGAGCGGTGAGTCAGGTAGGACGCGCAGGAGTAGGGTTTCACTTCGGGCGCAGGGGAGAGCTGCTGCGCAGGTGTAAGCCGAGGTTTAGCTGCAGCAGGTATTCTACCTTTAAGCCCCCCCCCGTTCCCCCCCCCCACCAACCAACTCTCCATCCAGCAGCCAACCGAGTCTACAAAAGTCATTCGAATTATAAAACTTAACCGGTTTTTCGGGCCGCACACGATGAGCTAAATCAATTACATACGTGTTTCATTAGAAGAAAACGAAACCACATGCACACAACGCCGAAAGATGAAACCTTACGTTATTTTTTTTTAAATTATATATTACGCCCGAGTTTACAATAATATTCTAAAAAAAAAAAAAAAATTACAAGTTATTTTAATCATGTTTAATTTCTTTCGGCAGGAACAAGAGGAGAAGAAGAAGACGAAGAAAAATGTTCTGAATCTCATTAATTGTCTGACATTTTGGGGGCGGGGGGGGTTCCCCCCCACTTCATTGACACGCTAGAAAGGAAACACGATAATAGAGTGACTCAGATACACAGCAGTGTTGGGTTAAATAAAATAAACTTCATAAGAATTGTAGCTAACAACATAGTGACAATAACATCACAGCAAATCACCCAGAGGCCATGTTTTTCGGTTTGAAAAGGGCTTTTAGATCACTTTTTTTTATTTAAATTAGAAATATGCATTTCAATATTGCACTACAATTGCTACAGCATCCTGTTAAAATTATCTAGCTTGAAATGTAAGAATAAAATTAAATAGGAAAGACACAAATTGATAAAGAAAAAATAAATAAATAATAATAAAAATAAAAACAGGCCATTAAATGATCAGTGGAATGAGATCTAATTTGGAAAAACACCAACTGCACCTTTACACCCACACATCAACATTAAACAAGCATAAGAAAAATATATGTATATATACTTAAATATAAGTGCTGATGCTGTTTGTTGAAAACTACAAAAAAATCAAGAAAATGAATAAACAGAATAAATATATATATATATATATATATATATAATCCAGCAAAAACACAAATCTAATATTCACATCAACACAGTAGGCATAAAAAAGTAAAACAAAGAAGAAAATTATAATTATTACTTTTAGTTTAATGTTACATGAGAATGCTGCTCCTCTCATCTTTACTGTAAACATCATCAAAATAAATGAAAAATAAATACATTAACCATTACTGTAAAAAAAAAAGGACAGGCATCTTTACATCCACATATCGATGTTACACTATTTATTTATTAATTTGATTTTAAGTGAGGATGCTGCCCCTCTCACCTCTACTAGAGGGCATCCTCTACCCTCCGTGAGGCTCTTCATCGCAGCCATCTACCACCACACACCCTCCCAGTCTAATTACCCATCAGTCTCCCAGCGAGACTTTTCTAAGTGCCACATCACACAGCGGCATGTGTATTACCATTCTGTGTTCTCTCTCTCTCTCTCTTTTCTCTTTTTTCCCCCCGCTGCTCCCAAACAGGCTTTTATTGCTCAGAGTCATTGAGACAAAGGCCTTTGATACTGCAGGCCTCTTTCAAAAATAAATTAGACTACTTGGAGGCACAGATGTTAGTTTATTTGGATCCTGTGAGGGGGTTTTGCAGTTTGTTTTCATGTTGTAAAGTTGAACTTGGCTTCAATATTGAAATAATAATAATAAAAAAAGGTTATGTTTCAAAGCTCAAAAAAGTGGTTTCTTGTTTTAAATAGCTTGATGGCCAAGAATATATGTGAACATATATATGTAGTCTGAAAACGGTGAGATGCATCTAGCACCTCGTCGTGAGGATGAGGTGGAGGATGTTTAAAAAAAAAAAAAAGTGATTGAATTACACTCCCCCCCTCTCGCCGTGCCTCAAACACCAGAAATATGGTTCGCATTGTCAAACATTCTCAAAAGATCAACTAACAAGTTCATGGATGAATAAAAGTGAATAGTAGTAATTAAATCCGTAATAGTCATAAACATGGCCTTTGCAGGAACCGTGGCTGCAGTCATTCCGGCGGAGTTAAATTTCAGCGGGGATAATTTCGCCTGGGCGCATATAGGCTACGTGGTGGAGCGACGTGGACGGCCTCCAAGCTCAAATGCAATTTGGGGGAGCACGTCACGGATGGGCTGGAAATCTCCGAGATGAAATATTAACAGCGATTGAGTCTATTTCATGCCATTAGCTCGATCAGATTTATTAGTTTTAATTCTGACATCCAAATTCGAGGAGGGATTCAGCTGGGTTTCCAGGTATTAAACCAACTGAAAACCGGTTTTTAATCAGGCATAATATTTTATGCCTATATTTGCTCACGTCCATCCAGTGCCTGTTCGGTTTCTGCCTCCCAGTTCTCCTCACTCCTCCTTTGCTAAGCCAGTCGTGACTTTAGCCCTGACAACCGCAGCTCATCAAAGAGTGTCTGTCCCATCTGACTCCGCTTTGCTTCCCCCGCTGCACATCCAGCATCTGTCTCCCAGCTCCCGGTAGTACAGGATATGCTGCACATTCACGCAGCGAGGTTCTGCTTTCATGGCAATCGGAGGTATATTGGGCCGAACCCTCCCCCTCCCCCCACCTCCACGTGAGCTTAAAATTCACCGTTTGATGTCCGCGAGAGACAGCAGACAGGTCCCCGTTATTCTTTTATTTTTACTTTTTATGTGCCACAAATATCCTGTTGAATAACATTACTACTTTTCTACCTCGCTCTGGCAGATTTATTCCCCCAAAAAAGGACAAAGAGAAAGCTTTAACATATAAATCTTTTTTTTTTTTTTTTTTTTTTTTAAAAAAAACCTAACCGCTTTTCCCCCCACATTAA